TCAGTAGGCAGAGTCTGGGGTCAGAACCTGATGGTAATAACTTCTCAACCAGAAAGGAAAATTATTTTCCAGGGTAGGACATGAATACTGACTCAGCCTAATTGTATTTGTAGGAGATAATGGTAAACCAGCTGTGTTATTAGGACTAATGCCCAAGGGTTTTCCTTTGAGTTGTAGGTGGAGAAAATTGGGAGCCAAGTTTTTAGCCACCTCCCTGGACTGGCCCCAGTCTTGTGAGGACAGGCTGGTTCTGAATGGGGCTTATGGGGAGAGAACCAATTTCATCAGAGAACTGCTGCAGAGAGGGGTAAGCTGTGGACCCCTGTAGACCCAACTAGGTGTAAACTTGGGCTCTGTTATGGCCCTGCTTGTGTAAGCCTTAAAACTTTAAAACTGACCAATAGGTAGGCATTGCAAGGAGGCGGGTTCTACCTTCATGTGAACCATCTGAGGTGTCCCTAGTTAGAAGGGACTGTCTTTAGAGGAAGTGAGCCTCCCAACCCTCAAGGCAATCAAGGGGGTGACCACTTCAAGGAGGTGTTGTAAGGAGACTCCCTCATGACTTGCAGGATGAGATGGGATGACCCTTAACTCTCATCTAGGTTAGAGATTATTTGAACTAGTTGTCAGCTGGTTACTCAGGTCCTCAGCCTTGATTGCTAATTGCCCAAAGCCTACCTGTCCTATGAGGCCTGGGAAGCCTGGGAGGAAAATAGTGCCAACCTCACAACTGCACCCAGTCCCTTTCCCCATCCTCAGTCTCCTTGTCTGGGCTGCTTGTCCACCCAGAAGCACCCACTGTGGACCAGGCCTTTGGAATCAGCCACTTTCTCTCAAACCACAGAATAAGCTACTTTGCTCTTCTGGGCCTCAGTTCCTCATCTTTAAAACGGATAGTATTAAGGGTTAGATGAAATGACATGAAAGTGTCCCACCCAGAGGTTGGAACAAAACATCGTTTCTTTGTTTGCCCACTCCCCCTGGGCACGAATAGCATACATTTCTCACCTGTCTACCAAGAAGCCACAATTGTTTAGCAGCCAGAAGTTTGGACACTCAGGGTCAAGGGAGAGGTTTTTCTGTAAGGGCAAGTAGCGCAATCCTCCTTATCCCCTACCCCCAATCTTCAAGGGTCTTATATGGGGCCCTCAAAGTGAAGAGGATGTGGCACCTGGTCCCGCAGTGAACTTGCAGTAGGTGTTCAATAGACATCTCTGAAGTGACATAAGTGGTGCAGGTATAGGTCTAAACAGGTAGGTCCTCTGAAGATTTCCAGATGCCAGGTTCTACTCTTGCCACCAACACCCCCAGGACCCACTCCACACAAAGCTAAGCTATTGGGACCCCTTTGTAATGATGTCTGCATTCCCTGGAGGCACAATATGACAAATATTTCTGTGGCTGTTCAATGATAAATTCAGGTGTCAAAGCTAAACAGAACCTTAGAAGTCAGATCAAAGTTCCACTTTACAGATGAAGAACTAAGGCCTGGAGAGGTTGGGTAGCTTTTGCGAGTTAGCGGTAGTACCAGCATTAGAGCCCAGCGGGAATCTTGACTCCTAGTCCAGTGCTCTTCCTCAGGCCCGGGCAAGCTCCTCACTACCCTGTGTAGTGCCATGGGTGGCAAGGCCAGGGGTCCGCCCTCAGGCTCGGGGCATCTCAGGGCTATGTGTCTTTTATTAGACTCTTTTGGGACACAAGGGTTGTGTCTCTTCCATCACATTAGGAACTCTCACTTAGGTTAGGGCCCAGGAGTCCACTTAACAGACCCCTTACTGTATGCCAATCACTGTGGATGGAAAGATGAACAAAGCTCGGCGTGAGCTCTAGAAAGGCTCAGATTCTGACACAGACACAGCTCCCCTTTCCTTGCCCCCACCCTGAACCTCACACAGTATGGCGGTGCAAAGTGGAGGGAGGTTGGTGTGAGGTCGGACAGAGCCTGGGAACTCCGTGGGCTGCCACAGCCAGGATAGTCCCTCGTCCTCTCCAAGTCCCAGAGGGAACACTCACTGTCTGGGTAGAGGAAACTCTCACCAGCTGCAGACGACACCCCACTGGGGCCTTGGGAGCAAGGCCAAAGGGCTTGTCCTCAGCCCAGTCTTAGAACCATGAACCTCAACCTTGGGTGACCCCTGCCCCAATGCCTAGCTACTGAGGGTTGGAGCTGAGTGTGTGCACAGCATCCCAACCCACTGAAGCCAGGGCTGGACTTGTGAAAAACTGACACTGGGAGCCAGCTTCGGCCAGAATTGCTCTCCTTCCACTCCTCTCAGGAGAGGGCTGGGCAGAGGTTCAATCTGTTGTGTCTGCCCGTCACCAGGTGCCTGGGACAGACCATCTGAGAGGCAACTGTGTCCCCTTGAGGGTCAGCCCTTCACCCTTCCCCAACCCTGTTCCTTAGCCAGGGCCTGGCAGGAGGCAGCTTTTTCCCTGCCCTAAGAAAAAGGCTAGTACTGGGCTGAGGCCTGGGCAGCAGACGGGGTTCCATCTAGTTCCACATCTTTGTGCATAACAAGGAAAAGCCCATGCCATCTGTGGGCCTCCCTTTCATCATCTATGAAATGGGAACAGTCAGACACCTTCTCTCCTACCCCTGGGGCCACCAGCAAGGACAGAATCAGGACTGGGCACCACAGGGTCCACTTTCCTCCAAGAGGGGGACAGTCATGCTTTCAGCCAGTATCTGGCCTCAGGAAAGGAGAGGCTGGCAGAGGGCCTGGGAGAGTATTTGTGAGGACTCCTGCCCACTCTCCCTATCCCCTCCTACTCTTCCTGTCTAGTCCCTGGGGCAGAGTGTCCCGGATATTTCTGGCTGCCTCCTCCAGGCCTTTGGCTTCCCAGGCTCACACAAGTGGTCCCCATATCCCAGACCTGCTTTGATGGAGTGAACTGGGTGGGAGTTCCTGGCAGAAGAGGCACATTTGTGTTGGGTCTGCAGAGTCATACGTGAGAATCTGTGCATATGTGTGCGTCCTAGGAGTGATAGAAGTTCCCCTGCCCCCTCCCAACTGTGGCTGTGTCATTGTAAGCCACTCTACCCTCTTGGAGAAAGCCTATAGTTGAACCTGTCCTGAATGGCAGATACCAGCCTGTCCAGGTCTGGGCCTCGGTTTCCCCACCTGTAGCATAAGGTCCCCGGAGAAAATAATCACTAAGCTCTCGTCCACCTGATATTTTCAACCCCACAGTCTTAGCTGGTCACCCAGGAAAGTTCTTTGCAGTGGGGAAAATGCCCTGGGATGGGCAGCAGGAGGCCTGGGGTTGTCTGCCCCAAGCTACATGACACTGGGCAATTCCCCTTTTGGTCCTTCACTGTCAATGAAGGTGTCAAACCCTATGAGCCTAAAATTCCTTCCAACTGTGAACTCCTGGCAAGAGGTGAATACCAAGGATTTGTAGCACAGGCAGGAAGCAGGGCACAGTGGTTAGGGGCACATGCTCTATAGTCAGACTGGCTGCAAGCCAGTCCTAGCTCTGCCACTCTCTGGCCATGTGACCTTGGGCATATGACCAAACTCTTGGTGCCTTCCGTAGTCTCTTCATCCATGAAATAGAAACTCATACTATTTTTTTTATTTTTATTTATTTATGATAGTCAGAGAGAGAGAGGCAGAGACATAGGCAGAGGGAGAAGCAGGCTCCATGCACCGGGAGCCCGACGTGGGATTCAATCCCGGGTCTCCAGGATCGCGCCCTGGGCCAAAGGCAGGCGCTAAACAGCTGCGCCACCCAGGGATCCCCGAAACTCATACTATTTTTTAAAGCAATACATGGGTAACTATTAAATGAAGGAAAATGACAGTGTCTACTCATAGGATTATTGCAAGGATTACAGGAGTCAAAGTGTCCACAAAAGTGCCTGACACACAGTGCACGTTGTTAACTATTATTATTTCAGGAGGCCCTTCCCCTTCCCATCTATAGATACATGATCCCCTCAGCAGCCCTACTTACTTTTCCCCAAAGCCCAGAGCTACACAGCAATGGATGGACGGGTGAAGCGTAGACATCAGCTTTCCACTCCAAAAACCAACTGAAGGAGTACTTCCACATTCAGAGGTTTATTGGATGTTCACCTGCTATGCTCCCATTTTTAGAGAGAAGGAAACCAAGGCTGAAAGGGAGATTGAATTAGCTCAGCGTCAGGGGCAGAGGTTCAGATAAACTAGAACCTGCTCCATGGGGCCCCAGGCTGGTTCGGTTGGTTAGGTGCAGACTCTTGATTTCAGCTCCTACAGGTCATGATATCAGGGTTATGAGATTGTCCCCCACTGGGCTCCAACCTCAGCACCAGTCTGCTTGAGCTGCCACTCCCCGCTGCGCTTGCTCGCTAGCTCGTGCTCTCTCTCTCCGAAGTAAATTAAATCTTTAGAACCTGTTCCAGTCCCCAGACTGGTCCATTCCATCTTGCTCTACCTCTGCCTCTCCCTCCAGTGCCCAAGTACCACCCCCTCAGCCCCAACCAATGAGGTGGACTGCGTATGAATATTGTCCTTGCTTCTTCCCAGCTGAATGACCTTGGACAAGTCATGTAAATTCTCGGGAGCCTCATTTCAAACACTTTATGGCCATCGGCCCAATACCATGAGATAGGTGCCTATCGCCGGTCACATTCTGAGAGCCCAGGTTACCAGGTCAGAGTTAGAGTACTCGGACAAGAGCACACAGCTGCTTTAGTGCAGGCTAAACGGCGGCGGTGGTGGTGGTGGTGGTGGGGTGTCTTTGTAGGCAGCCCTCACAGTGCCCGCACGCGGCAGGGTCGCTGCTGTCACTATTGCCCATAAGGAAGCGAGTGCCCCTGCAGGTCTCCCGATGCCCACGGGCTCAGGGCCATGCAGCCTGCCGGCCACCGCATCACATGAGCCGCACTATCTTTAGACAGGGAGATATTTATAGCCGTCGGGAAGTTTCTTCCGCCCCGGGGGAGCCCCAGAGTCGGTGGCCGCGGAATCCAGGCCTGCCGGCGCCCCCCCCCCGCACCCCACCTCCGGCTCGCCATGCCAAGGGCCCCGGAGGCCCCGCCGGTGCAGGTGTGGGTGGGCGGCCAGCTGTTCCAGGCCGACCGGGCGCTGCTGGTGGAGCACTGCGGCTTCTTCCGCGGCCTCTTCCGCTCGGGCATGCGGGAGACGCGCGCCGCCGAGCTGCGCCTGGGCGCGCTGAGCGCCGGCGGCTTCCGCACCACGCTGCAGGTGCTGCGCGGCGAGCGGCCCGCGCTGGCGGCCGCCGACGAGCTGCTGCAGGCCGTGGAGTGCGCCGCCTTCCTGCAGGCGCCGGCGCTGGCGCGCTTCCTGGAGCACAGCCTCACGTCGGACAACTGCGCGCTGCTGTGCGACGCGGCCGCCGCCTTCGGCCTGCACGACGTGTTCCGCAGCGCCGCGCTCTTCATCCGCGACGGCGCGCGCGAGCTGGCGGCCGAGCTGGCGCTGCCCGAGGCCCGCGCCTACGTGGCGGCGCTGCGGCCCAGCAGCTACGTGGCGGTGAGCACGCACACGCCGGCGCCCGGCTTCCTGGAGGACGCGTCGCGCACGCTGTGCTACCTGGACGAGGAGGAGGACGCGTGGCGCACGCTGGCCGCGCTGCCCCTGGAGGCGAGCACGCTGCTGGCGGGCGTGGCCACGCTGGGCAACAAGCTGTACATCGTGGGCGGCGTGCGCGGCGCCAGCAAGGAGGTGGTGGAGCTGGGCTTCTGCTACGACCCCGACGGCGGCACGTGGCGCCGGTTCCCCAGCCCGCACCAGCCGCGCTACGACACGGCGCTGGCGGGCTTCGACGGCCGCCTCTATGCCATCGGCGGCGAGTTCCAGAGGACGCCCGTGAGCTCTGTGGAGCGCTACGACCCGGCCGCCGGCCGCTGGAGCTTCGCGGCGGACCTGCCGCAGCCGGCGGCGGGCGTCCCATGCGCCCAGGCGCGCGGCCGCCTCTTCGTGTGCCTGTGGCGGCCGGCGGACACCACGGCCGTGCTGGAGTACGCCGCGCGGGCCGACGCCTGGCTGCCGGTGGCCGAGCTGCGGCGCCCGCAGAGCTACGGCCACTGCATGGTGGCCCACCGCGACAGCCTCTACGTGGTGCGCAACGGACCTTCCGACGACTTCCTGCACTGCGCCATCGACTGCCTCAACCTGGCCACCGGCCAGTGGACGGCGCTGCCCGGCCAGTTCGTTAACAGCAAGGGGGCGCTCTTCACGGCAGTGGTGCGCGGCGACACCGTCTACACGGTCAACCGCATGTTTACTCTGCTCTATACCATTGAGGGGGGCACCTGGAGGCTGCTCAGGGAGAAGGCCGGCTTCCCGCGGCCGGGCTCCTTGCAGACCTGCCTCCTTAGGCTGCCCCCTGGCGCCGCGGGGCCTGCGGCCTCAACGACACCCGAACTGTGACCCCGGCTGCCCTTTAGGAGGGGATAACCCGGAGTCTTCCATGAGCCACGGCTGAGTCCGTAAGGCAGGCCCTTCGGAGCTGCTCGGAACTTCTGTCCCCCTGGTGGAGACCTGCAGGTCTTGGGCCTTGTGCTAGGAAGGTGTTGGGACATGTGATAGGAACGTATGTCAAGAAATTCAGAGAGTAACGAGGACACCGGGGTCTGCACCCTCAAATTACGTGGGCTCTGCTGAGAGATGGTGGGTCACAATGCCGGCGAATGGGCCGCGGGAGTGGGATTTCACTAACCCAGGCTTGTGTGTGAGTGGGCCAATAATTGAGCATGGCTAGGAGTGAGATAAGCGATGTTAATCAAACTGCCAGTCAGTTGGCAAGAATTAGGCACCTATTGTGTGCCAGGTACAGTGCAAGGCCTAATGTAAGTGTAGGCGCCAGAGAGGTCCACGAAGCCTAGAGTCTGGCCCAAGACCAGCAAAGGTTGATACACACTTAGTCTTGATCCGCTGAGGGCTAAGGGCAACACGCAAAACGAAAAACTCACAGTGGAATAAAAGTATGGAAGAAATCAGGGCAAAGGGAACATAGGGAAGAGGAAAAATATTTAAGTCCAGGAAGGAAGAGAGTTTCCCAAGTGCGTGAAGAAGACAGGTGGGGTAATTAGCTGCTACAGGAAGGTTCAGAGGGAAGAGGAGGGGGGAAGGCTGGAACAGATGGGAAGAGGCTCGGTGAGCCCAGCCTTTGAGGCGGAACAGCTGTGGACGGAGGCATTTGGGGAGCGGGCGAAGCTGGCAGGGCTTGCAGGGACCGTAACAGCTGAACCTGTGAGAGAGAGAGGGCTCCCCACACCCCCTCACAGGATGCTGGCGGCGGTAAAGAACTCAGTTGCAAGCCCCTCGCCCACTCCCGTTTTTGCCGTCACCCTGTGGGCAGTGGATTATTAACTTCCGTGACTTTAGGTCACTTGCGTGGGAGCCCACTCCTGGCCAGGTGTCACTGCCTCCTCTTCCTCAGTGGCGTCCCTCCTCCGCGTTCTGCGGGTTAATTCCCTCTTCCAAGCCTCTGCTCCTGCCATTCTAGGGGCCTGGAATGCTTTTCCTCCCTGCCGCCCCCACTCTGTTGTCTCTGTACCCACCTCCTCTGTGCAGGGTTGGCTCTTGCTGACCTTGGCTGCCTGCATTGCTCATTGGACCCCTGACTGGCATCATTCTGTGTCTGCGTGAAACCACACAAATGTGCATATAGCAGGGGCCGAGATCCTGTTGTGCTGTCAACTGACCTGGGTGCTTCCCCACCTAGAGAATCAAATCTTGAGGTCCTGATAGAACCCAGGCTGTAAGGGCTAGACCACTTAGGAACCTGGTGTTGGATGAGGACCCTCGTCCCTCCTTTAGTGTGTTCCTGGCCTGATTTCTGGTCACCTGCATACCCCAGTCCTTCAACTTCTCCATGACGTGTGTCCCCAATTGTTTCCATCCTCCAAGACCTGAGGCCCATGGGAAGTCCTAGCCTCATTAGAAGTATAGTATGCAGCATCAGCATGGAGCATAGTGTCGGGTGTGCCCCTCGTTGCCTTTTGCCCTGACCTATGTCCCAAGCCTTGGGGACTGCTGCCCCCAGAAGCCCAGGACCTGGTAGCACTGGAGAAGCCTAAATCACAGCAATAAATCCTGACTTTTGCATCCTGTGAATAATGTGCATAGTACTTTCACATCCGTCTTCCCGCTCCAGCCCTCAGTCCTGGGAGTTAGGTACCTTCGCTTCATGGCAGACAGATGAGGTATGTGAGGCCCAGAGGCTGAGCAATTTGCCCAAAGCCTCTGTCCCCGTGCCAGGGCATAACAGAGCCCCTCGCTTTTTGATTCTGTCAAAGTATAATTTTTGTCACATATCAAAGGTGTATTTAATTCATCAATAAAGGAAACAATGGTAAAGCTGGTTCAGAGGAATATTTGAGAGACGAGATTTATGTCTTTGGTTGGAAAAGACCTACTGAAATTAGTTTGCTAAGATAAGAGGTAAAGCTTACAGGACCTTACAAACCATAACCTGTGTTTCTGTACCGGAGTAAAATCCTTTGGATCTTCACATACACGCACCAGCCTATATATACATGCAGCGACAAGTTAGCAGGTAGCTTCACAAAGTCGGCACTCTAGTCAATAGTGAATTCTAAAACAGAGGCATTTCGTTTTTCCTGAGAGAATTAAATAACTCTTGGCTGTTCAACCCTGCCCCACAGCAACATTGAAACGACAAGCAGTCCTTTCACCTATTTCCAAGTTATGGATAATTTTTCTGAACAGTTCAGAGCACTCTCTTCCTTGTTCACTCCTAATGGTGAACCCTGAGATTTGCAATCTTGAGATCCATCTGCTCATCTGTTCTCTCAACCTACAGAGCCTGTGGATGTCACCTTTTGCAGCTGGCTGTGTGGACCTGCCCAGACAGGGCCTACTGGCTCCTGCGGTGGTAATATTATTCCTTGGTCCAGAGCAGCCTTTTCTGAGATGTCTTTTGTGCATAACAATGACACTGTTCACAGTGAGCTTTCCCACAGTTGACTTATTTAAGCTAAGAATTTTAAGTGGTTTTGCAGCTTGGCAAAACCTCTGCTCTTAAAGATTAAAAAACCCAAACACCGAAAGGTCACGTGATTGGAAGAGGCATGACAAGGAAGTAGCAGAGCCCCAGCCTTGAACCCAGGGCCACATGCTTGTTTTCCGTGGTTGCCTCCCTGCTTCGCTGACATTCTGAGATGGACCAGGTGTTTCTGCCAGTCTCCTTAACACTCCCTTCCCTGTCACCCTTCCCCCTGCACCACCTTTTCTTAGTGTTGACCTGTTCCCCTAAACCCAGCCCTTTCCACTCCCCCTGTGATAGGAAAATTAACTGTCCTGGGTTCCCTTGCCTGAGGATCTAGCTGAGATTCTAATGGCCTGCTCCTTGAGGGTGCTAATGACTTGTTAAGGCCCTGAGGGGGTTTGCACTGTCACAGAGATTACCTCCCTCTCACGAAGTGTGGGGGGAGGTTTTCATAATCCAGCCCACCTTCTCTGGCCTCACGGCTCAGGCTCTGTGCTGTTCCTTCCACAGTCCACCACCCTCCACAAGGGTGGTCACCATGTCTGTTTGCAGGTGAGGAAACCAGCAGAAAGCTGAAATGAGTCACCCAAAGTCACATAGCCAGTCAAGTGGAAGAGCAAGGACCCGGAACAAGGACTTGGGATTCTCAGGCTCTCATATCCTGGCACGTAGACTTGACCTCTGGGTGAAGGTGTGATTTGGGAGGCCAAACCAGGTTGGGTGCAGCGGGAACAAATATACAGAGACACAGGGGTTACTAAACCCAGAAGGCAGGGTTTAAAAATCTCTCCATCCCAGCCCAGAGGCCCACTCTGAGAAGACTATCCTTCCAGAAAGATCTACACACACAGCTTAATGCAGCAAGGAGCATCTTCCTGAGTCTCCTTGGCAGCCCTGCAGCACAACTCTCTGGAGCTGTCTCCAGTTCTCCATACACTTTCTCCTTGACCCTGACCCTGGTAGCCTTGCACCCCAAGCTTTCCTCTTCATGGAAACTATCCTGTTTGGGTTCTATAGCCTGCCTGACAGAGGCAGAAGGAGAAGCCAGAACTTCCTACGCTCGACCCAGGGCCTGCTTGCTTGCTTGCTTCCCTTCAGTCTGCTCATGTGGCAGCCAGAGCCATCCTAATGAAATGCCAGGCTGACCTTGCTGCTTCTCCATTCAGACCCTTGGATGGATCCTCATTTCACTCAAGTGAGAGCCCAAGTCCTTTCAGGATCCCCTGCCCCATTTCCTCGTGTTGTCTCCTACCACTCTCCCCCTGGTCTCATTGCTGTACTTTAAACACGCCAAACACACTCCAGCTGCAGGGCCTTTGCACAGGTACCCGTGCCAGGCATACTTCCCTCACTTAGTCCCCCCCCCTTTTTTTTTTTTGGTGATAACAGATCAATTTTAATTCTAGCACCTGAAGCTATACAAGGGTATGCTTTATCAATTTCATGGGACTGTTGTACACATTCAATAAAGTGACAACTGTGCAATACCACTTAGTATCTCACAATCAGGAACATACTTTGGAATTTAAACACAATCCACAGAATTAAAAACAAAATCAGAAGCCACCCACAGTTATACTAATTGTCAGTTAAAAGGTTTACACTTAATACTTGATACAACAGGGATCCCTGGGTGGCGCAGCAGTTTGGCGCCTGCCTTTGGCCCGGGGCTCGATCCTGGAGACCCGGGATCGAATCCCACGTCAGGCTCCCGGTGCATGGAGCCTGCTTCTCCCTCTGCCTGTGTCTCTGCCTCTCTCTCTCTCTCTCTCTGTGACTATCATAAATAAATAAAAATTAAAAAAATAAATTTAAAAAAATAAAAAAAAAATACTTGATACAACAGTCGATACCTAGTACAGGATACCAAAAGTGACTTCAGATTCTCATCCTGTTGTAATCTCCGGAGGTTTCTCAAGCAGGTGTGTGACTGGCCAGAGGTGGCGCCACCAGGACTGGGACCAGGTGACTGCCCACCTCCTACAGGCCTCTTTGCTCAGATGTCACTTTCATTCTGAGGACTTTCCTGGCCCTGCTCCCCTTAAAGTCTATCTTCCCCTTCTCTGCAGTTCCTACTCCCTTTTCCTGCTTTATTTTTCTCCATAGCATCTAGCGTCGTCTACCATGCTATATTTTTACTTCTTTAGCATCTATTTCCTCCTACTAAAACTTGAGTTCCATGAAGGCAGAGACTTTTTGTCTGTTCACTGCTGTATTGCCGGGACCCGGAATAGTGACTAGACCATAGTAGGGGTTTAATTATTTAACGAATGAATGGTGCTCAACAGATGTCAGAAAAATGAATGAATAAATTGATCAATCGGAGGAAAACTCATAGAAGATTTCAGAGCAGAGGACTATCATTTCCTGCAGGGGGTGGGGCTGGGCAGGTGACCAGGGGAAACTTAGATGAGGAGGTGATGAACTGTGAGGTCCATATACTTCCAGGGGGAGAGTGGGATCTGAGAACAACAGCAGCTCACAGGTCACTTCTCTGCCTTCAGCAGAGGGGAGGAGACTGCAGTTGGAAGTGCTAATCATCCTGTGAAGAATCGCTCCTCTTGGCGGTGGAATACGCACAGGGCCTTCTGTTTATTTTCCTTTGGCCTCAAGCAGCTGGGCCTCTTTTTCACCCTAATTGCTTCGCTTCAGGTTGCTGTCATTTGCCTGGAATAGTAGCAAGTTAATTGTGCTAGTAGGAGAGGCAGATGTCAGCAGACAGGCCTCCTCTGAGCACCTGATCGTGGGCTGGGAATGTGGGGACCCTCAGGGAGGGCCTCACGGGGCTCATCCGTGCAGTGTCCTCTGCAACCCTCACGATTCTCAGCCCCAGCTGGAGTGGGAAGCATGAAAAGGAGGAGCCCCTCTCTCTAGTGACTCAGCAATTAGAAGGTAAAGGGGGCCTTTATGGGGCTGCAGAGTCTTGGACTAGGGTATAATAAACATTTCGTGCAACCCCTCCTTTTACAGGGAGGAAGGGAAGTTCCGGGGGACAGGGGAGGCAAGTAACTTGCCTGGAGACGCACAGCCATGCAGCACACCACTCTGAGCTAAAACCCACATCTCTCGAATCCTCTTCCCGTCACACCATGCTGCATCTCTCTGCTGCCCACCAGGACACCTGTGAGGGAGCTTCCCCAAAATGACCCAGCAGGCCTGCTCTCCCTGGTTCCAGACCTCCATCCTTATTTTTCCCACTAAGCCTCCCTGCTCTGGCATCCCATGCTTTCGGCACCCTGCTGACAGACAAGGGGATTGAGCTCTAAAGGTGGCATCTGGGCCCCTGGGCCCCTCCCAGCTCTCTCTTTCTCACACACCATTTGATAACACTGAGAGTGGCCTGATGCCATTCGCCTAGTACGCTTCTCTCTCCAGTAACGTATTTTCATCTGACAGTGGCCTTCCGTAGATGTGCGTCAGCCCGCAGGCCTGATGAGCAGAAGCAACTGCAGGTGCCCAGAGACGAGCTCACTAGCAGGTCAGCCGGAAGGATGGGACCGAGGATCCTGCAGGTGCCGCTCGCAGAGGGCCAGCTCTGTCTGTCGGGCAGCCAGCTTATCTTGGGGTCCGGCCTTGGCTCTGACAGGAACTGCCCTGTGACCACAACTCAGTTCCTTGACCTTGCTGAAGTGGAAGTGTCTCAAGCCCAAACAAGGAGGACAATCCTTGCCCTGGAGGGTTGTTATGAGAGTGAAGTGAGAACCTAGAGGCCAGCATACATTATCCTCACCTTCCATATTCCTACCCCATCCCCTCCCTTTATCCAGGCCCTTTCTGTGATGTGGGCAGGGTTTGGATGAGCCGAGGACTGTCCACCAGTCTGTGCACTGAGGAGTCAGTGAGGATACAGGATGATAGAACACATAAGCTTCGGCTTCAGGGGACCTGGGTTCATACTCCAGCCCCATCACTTGCCAGCTGTGTCATCTGGGCAAGCTTGGTTTGTTTATAAAATGTTCATCATGCTAAGACTTAAATGTTCATCAAGATACAGAGTTGCTGTGCAGATAGATCATGTGAGTCGCCAATAGCCTTCCCATTAGGGAGATAGGTTGGAATCTGAGTGGAAAGCGCCTTGAATGCCGGGCTAATTTGGGTCTTATTCTGTAGGAAGTGCGGATCCACAGCAGGTGTTTGAGTGGTGAGTATGGAAGCCAGATACCTGTTTCTTGA